TGATAAACTGTCACAATCTATGTACTTCATTATTCCTTCACTCAGAGCCTAGCACCTGATGATTGAGGTACCCCTCATGAAACAGCCTGTAGTGCAATAAAATGTTGAGTCTGTAACCCAGTGTTACATGTTTTATATATATATATATATTTTATAACCAGCTCAGACGGATAGGTAGACAGGAAACACTTCTATGTAAATGATTTTGCCCCCGAAATGTGCTTTTGTCTATGAATTTTAACTACTGTATTTTAAGTGTAAAAGGTGTTTTTAATTACTTCTTTATGATACGCATCTGAACAAGCTTTATTGGAAGAGGTGCAATATAAATTATATATATATATATACAGTATATATATATATATATATGAATATATTATATTATATAGTATAATATTGTATATATATACTATATATATATATATTGTAATATATTATTATACATTGAATAATAAAATAAATATATATCTTATATATAAGTTGTATTCAATTCTGTTGTTAAAAACATGTTGTGTATATCTGGTTATCAATTCTATGCAGTGAATTTTATATTACCAAAATGTTGTATGACTCTCTGCACACTGATCACACATTTCATTTATGGTGGGCGTTGGCCATGTTTCTAGCCTGTATTAAACACTGGGTTGAACGCATTTAAGGAACTTTCATTATTTTCTTAATTCTAAAATTTGTATCACATTTACTTACTTTACAAGCATTTCATAATTTTCTAAGCTTAGTATATTTCACAGGATTATCTTATTGTTTATTTCATTTCATGAGACTTTCATTCAGCTAGCATTCCCAGGCTTTCTATACACTTGGTTTTTTTTTCATTGCTATTCATGAAAATAAGTGATGTACAAGTGATCTACTTAATTTGAGAGACACCTCATTTTTAATTGGCCAGTTTTAATTTTGTTTTTAATCTGATTGGTAGGTTTCATTTACTTTTGTAATACTTCTGTAAATATTGTAAATATATATGGGTGAGATTTTCTTATCAGCAATTCTTGAAAATTATCAAATAGATCAAAACGTTGAATCACAAAATGTATCTATCTCTTTTTGGGGTTAATGCTTTGTTATATTTAAGACTAATTATTGGATCCTCTGGTTTGATTTATGCAGTGAATTGTATGTTAATGTTTGATTAACTGTACAAGAATGAATGAATACGGTACAGAAAACTAATGCCATCATCAAAATTGCATTGAATATCATCATCATCATCGTCATCACTCCCACGATATCAACAACAAAAGGCATGTGGTCTGGTTGTACTGTATGCGTTGAAACTACCGTACTTGATGATATTATTTTTAGATAAACAGTATTTAAACATTAAATAACAGTATCGCTGGCGGCGCTGTGACAACACTAATTAGAAATGAAGTCCATGGCATGTTTGATATTATAAATACAATACAATATGACAAATAAATTAAACCAATGATATAAAATACAAAATTAACCAGATTTCTTTTCAAAATATTCTTTAATCAAGATTGGCATCTATAAAATAAAATATTAAACCAATACTCTGTAAACACTATGTTCAATCAATCACGTAGATCGATCGCAAAATCAAGATTGGCATCTATAAAATAAAATATTAAACCAATACTCTGTAAACACTATGTTCAATCAATCACGTAGGTCGATCGCAAAATAATCTTGTATATACATCACTTTGTATGTTTTGTTAGTTTTTTCAACAGTCATTCATTTCTTGTTTTATTCTTCAAGTTTGGTCTTCTGATGCCTGGGCGTCGCTGTGCACGATTAATTACTATAGATGAAGCCGAAACGTCTATGAATGAAATTCTTCCATCCTCGACGAAAACCCTGAAACCGGTTACGACGGATCCACTACTTAAGCCTATTCTAGACTCCGTAAATAACTCATGAACTAAACAATCATCATCCACCAATTCGTCATCACCGGACTCGTAAAAATCATCATCGTCGGAATCGTCGTAGTCCAAACCGAAGTACTCAGATAACCTCGTGTCTGAAAAATAAATAAAGATAAAAAATTGATTAAATGATTGTGAATAACGCAATTTCTAATATTAATTTTACATTTCTCTTTGATGCTTTCAAAATTGTACTAGAAAGTTTCTGGCACCTGCATAGAACGATAATCGCACAGCTAGACCACAATTTATAACTTAATTTTACACAGAAAAAACAACAAACTGAATGAGACAGTAAAACATTGTAAAAAAATTAACAATATGGAAGATGTGAATGACAATTTCTGTAGTATAATTAGTAGGATGCAATCCCCAGGGTGGCAATCTACCGCGTGCAGCACACAAACAGGAATTAAATTTAATGTGCTCGAGAGTCGTTGGTGTGGGTCTATACCTAATTACTATCATTTTATCTATTTCACTATCCCTTTTGAGAGTCAGTTATATCATGGAGGAATTATACATACCAAATTAGTTATCCATTGAACTGGGGGTGTCGTTTTAAATGAAGTCACTCATAAGTGTTTAAATGTATTTAAATACAGGTCTCCCTCTAATGAATGAAAGACCCCTCCAATTTAATTGAAGATCACCTCCAATAAAAGACCACTTTTCTGTGGTCCCAAACCAAAGCTGCTAAAAACCAACCCCTGGTCCCGAAAGTGGTCTTTAATTGGAGGGAGACCTGTACACTTAATTTGATTGATTGACCTTTTAAAGTGTACTGTCATTTATATTAGTTTATGAATGTTTAGGCAAGGACTTGTGGTGGGATCAATTTCTGTCTATATGATGACCCATGGTAAAATCATGGCAGTACAGTATAATAATCGATGGATATTGTATACCCTTAGGCATTTAACTGTCGAACTTGTTGTTCCATCTAAGTTGAGACATATAGCAATTTCTGTACCAACTATGGTATCAATGTACAGTACAAACATTGCATAACCAATATTTAAATGAATCCTAGTACTACATTACAATAACCAAAGCACTCTCGTGGGGGAATCAGAATAAGCATCCCGATTAAGTATTTAGTGCAATTTTAGGCCTTCAACGAGAACATGGAAGAAAAAGAAACAAAAATACACTTACAATCATCATGTTGAAATGCTTCGTCGTCGGTTAAATAGTCATCCTCCATCAACGTGTTAGTAGATGATGAACTGAGATACCCTGAAGACAGTCTGTCCATCCTTCTCGTCTCTCCAGTATACTGCTGACGTGCGTTAGATGACGACGCATTCGACGCTTGTGGCCGTGTTGACGCGCGCTCCTGTCTTCTAGTACGTTGTTGCTGCGTTGTATTAGATGACGCATGTTGTGTTGTTGTGTGTCCGTGTGTTTGTGAACAAATTCGATTGCTAGCACTGGACATTTTGAAAGAATTGCTACTTTTAACTTGACTACAAAAATAGAACTAATTTGACTTCACTGTATTAGTACTCTTTTATTTACTGCTGAAATTGCCTCGAAGCTTACCAGAAAATATAATAGCCAATCAAACGTATGGAAATAGCGAGCGCTCCTTTCATTGGTCTACACGTTTGCGTTCAAGGCGTGGCTATCGAGGCGTGAGTCACTCATGGACCTGGGTCACCCACTATCAAACCTGGGCCCTTTGATTATGCCGCGTCACCTAATTAGCTTGGATTTTGTAACATAATTATTAAGTGATAACTTTTGCAACGTTGTAATAATTTTGACAAATTATTTTACCATTTTGATGCAAAGTTAAAATTCTCAACTTAAGCATAGAAATTAGTGAATTAAAAAAAGTTAACCATGACTTTTATACAGATTAATTAAAAAATACTTTAAAAACTCGTAAAAAATTAATGGAAGTTTTGCTCATATTCGTGATTCGGGTAAGAATCTAACCCACGACCTCCAGATAACTAGCCTGCTGGCATAACCGCTGTTGAATTGCCACAGTTTTATGTTGTTTGTGTCATAAAGTTTCATAGGAGTTGTTTTACCTGACGTGTTATCTCACTGAATACTCAGTACCTTCCCATTGCGGACAACTATCGCAAGTGAATCGGGTGGGAATCAAAAATTTAATTTTATTTATTAAAATTTATTTTAATAAAATATAAGAAAATATAAAAACAGACAAAATATATATTTAAAAAAACTTATAAATATTAAATTGTGTATGCCCTTATTTAGTCATGATAGGCCTATATACACTGGTACACAAGATATTTTGCAGCCATTGAAATGGGGTTGTTATTAGCATGGAGGTAATGCCTCCATTATTTATATGTTAAAATTGTTATCTGTCTGTCTATCACAGTGGTGTATTTTATTTCAATTATTTTAAACAAATATACCAATTAGTCGATGTTAACTTACGCTAGAAAACAAAAAAAACCAGTTTAAATAAC